GAGGAGGAGGAGGAGGAGGAGGGGTAGGAAGAGGAGGGGGTGGAAGGAAGAGAGAGGAGGTGGTGAGGAGGAGGAGGAGGGGAGGAGGAGGAAGGAGGAGGAGGTGGTGAAGGAAGAGGAAGGTGGTGAAGGAAGAGGGAGGAGGAGGAGGAGGAGGAGGAGGAGGGAGGAGGAGGAGGAGGAGGAGGAGGAGGAGGAGGAGGAGGAGGAGGAGGAGGAGGAGGAGGAGGAGGAGGAGGAGGAGGAGGAGGAGGAGGAGGAGGAGGAGGAGGAGGAGGAGGAGTGTGCATGTGGATATACATGTATACCTGTACAAATGCTATATACATATATGCACCTGCCTAACCTCACTCTCTTTTGCCTCATCTTGCCTTGCCTCACCTTGCTTATCTAAACCTAATGCAACTTAGACTAAACTGAAACCTTATTAACCAAACCATGATTAGTGGAAAATCTTAATTTTGCACTTAAATATATGGGATATTACTCAAACATTTTTGGTGAGCAAAATATTGTATGATGCATATTTCCTAAATCACTGTATGCTTCAGTTTGTTTAAACACAACGAGCCTTGTTGCATCATGCAAATGGAATCAGTGATGTGATGACTTATAAGACATGCTTCTTGTACAACAGAGCTATTGCAGATTCAAAAGTTTTAAAGAAGTACATAGATCTTTCAGCTCCTTAGCAAAGGCCAAAAGACAAGGACATTCTTCAAAAACTAAGCTTCGTCTGTTTCTTTCTTTGACGATAAATTCAAAGGAACATATACAAACCATATATAATACTCAAGACAATGGTGATATAAGAAAGTTTTTAACTGATCTCACTAATATTTCAATTTCTAATTATAACCATTAGGTCCTAGAAGAAAAATGTCTTACAATTCCTTGATCTATCAATTCTATGAAATATATAATGTGTATGATATCAAATCATACTTTTCACATGAGCATCACTAGTTTTATTTCTTTTTTGAGAGTTTTATCTTCATAAAAAGAGATAAAAAACTGCATCATACATAAATTTTATTGTAATATAAATATATTCTGGGATGTATAAAGAAAACTTGTTAAGACTCCTTAACAATTTTCTAACTGCTTTGACCTTTTGTAAGTCTAAAGATTAAAACATTAATTTTCAATTCTAAATGTCCCTAAATAAATTGTTGGAAGTAGGAAAAAACACATACATTTTGTACACTAAGACGAAGGCAAAATAAGTATGCTGAATGTGTTAGAATATGTCAAATGAGTCAAATATCACAACCCACAACTTTGTCAAAGTCTAACTTCTCTCAAGATTCAAAACGTTATTACACTTCACGACCTAAACAAAATCAAACTCTTTTAACATTTTGATAATTCCTAAATTCATCAAATAAATAAATGCGACCTGAACCAAACCAATTCATTAAAAGAGTAAAAACAAATTCCAAATCATACCTTCTTCTGTCACGTTATAATCAGGGGTGAAAACCTCTTCCAAAATGGTCTGATTGTGATGTATCTCTTCTTCAGGAAGTTCCTCCCTCGTCAGGCAGGAAGTACTCTCCCTCTCCCGTTTAACTTCAACTTCACCAGCAACGTCACCAAAAACTTCATTCATCTTTCACTCCCGCAAGAGTCGTCCCGATTTCCTTGCCTTCGTGTGCCTTGCGGTAGCCTGACGAGCGCCATCACTCACTTCTTGACGTGACAAGGCTCGGGCGATTACTGAATTGGTGGTGTGAGCGGCCCACGAGTGTCTGTCTCCCTCTTCCCTCGCTAACACTTTTCCGGTTCCTATGGCAACGGGGAAGCGACTCTCCAAAACAAAACAAAGACGAGCAATTTCCCGTTTTCTGTGGAGGGCTTTCTGCGATTTCTCTTTTTCTGGCTTCGGTTGTATATTGCCTGACTAATTGGTTTGGTATTCACTTTTTATTTGTTTTGATGGCTATTTTTATTCTATTTTTCTATTTTATAATTTACTTTATTTCTTATACAGAAGAATGGGGAACATTATGATTCTACCAGGTAGAGATTTACATATAATAATTTTGATATCATGTTCGGACAGTTTTACCGGCAGACATCTGCTAGAAAATAAAGAAACTAGAATATTTGAGAAATAAACTTCATAATCTGCATGTAACAGCTACAACACGAAAATTAACTAGCATTAAAACTGTATAGAAATGAGTAAATACTGTGACCTAAGTACACCTTCAGCTAGACTAAATTAATCAAAAATAAATTCTCGCTCTACTTGGTTTCAAGCTATGATGTAACAATTTCACGAACGATGTATCAGTTCCAAACTGCATATCACAAAGTAATAACGGTATTCAAAAGACCAGTAATCAATTAAGAAATAAAAGAATAGTTAATTGCTAGAAAAAGCACCTAATTAACTTAATATCCACAGTTCACAAATTGAATAGGCTTGAAGATGACGTCACAGAAGCAACCCGACTTGCAAATCGGAGGAACCGCGAAAACGCCTCACACCCCA